AACTCTGTGTGGAGAGGGGTTTTATAGGGGGGTTGGAGTAAGGGGAGGAGAGAGGACTGTGGGCCCTGCCATTGGCCGGGCGCAAGTCCGTGTGCTTGTTACACAGGATGTGGTCATATCTATGGCGCGCACTTCCCTTGATTCTCATTGGTTAGTTTAAAGAAATCCTAGGTGTGGCTAGCAGAGGTTTGGGCTTCCGGGAAGAAGCTCCTTGCCGAGCACATGGCTGCTCAAAAATGGAGGATCCGGGGTAAGATGGAGGGCGTAGCCCTCCCCTTTTCAGGACCACAGCCTGGCTTGACTCTTCCCCCTGCCACCTCTGTATTTCTCTGGCTGTTTTCCTGAGAGTCCCCCTGACCCTCACCCCATCAGTCCTGTGAGCCTGCATCCCTGTGTCAGGTTCTCCTTGGAAAACTGAGCTAAAACACCTGCACATGAAGGTGCCCAGGAGAGAGCCACACAGATACAACTGTTCATTATCTTCACAGAATGGGCTTTGCATTTGGGAGCACACAGCCCAATGATGAACATCTAGGACGTTTTGTCATCATGTGACCTTTCTCCCTCGTCAGCTCTGCCACAGTGATGCCAACTTAGTGATGCCACAGTGATTTTCCTGAGGACAGTGTCGGGGAGACCAAAGGCCCAGACACAGAAGGGCCACTGGACAGGGATCACATCTTTTGCGTAGGAGATTCGGCAGTGGAATCAGAACCCTCAAAGGTCCTCAGTCAGCGATGGCTCCCTGCAAATCTCCATAGGGTCATTGCTTACACAATACCCGTGTCATAACTCAGAAAAAAATTCTGGCTTATGAGAGCATTAGCATTACCTTGTCACTTCCCTTTGAATGTTAAATCTAATCAGCTCAGAGATTTCTCACTCAAGGGCTGCTTCCAGAAGCCGACAGCAAATATCATAGTAACGGTGCAGGAACAGGAGCACCATAGGCTGTGTGCTCTATGCCTGTCAACTTTGCTATTTAATTCCCAAGAGAGGCTTTTCCCAGGAATGCAAGGTTGGGATAATGGTTGAAAATCAATCAATACAATTAAGCGTATCAAGGATTAAAAACGAAAATATCATATGATCACCTCCAAAGACTAGAAAAAAACATGTCACAAAATTCAGTTAGCTATTGAGGATATTTTGAAAACTCTCAGCAAAAGGGGATATAAGATAATTTGTCAACATGATAAAGGCCCATCTCAAAAAATCCTAGAGCCAAACAGAAACACAAAAACAAAAAGAAAAAGAAAAAAACATCCTAGAGCCAAATTCACACTTAATCAGGAAGGATGGAATGCTTTCTCCGCGGATCAGGCACAAGGCAAGGCAAGAAAGAAAAGTCGAACAAATAAGAAAGGAAGAAAGAACTGTCCTTACTTGCAAACAACTTAGACATGTCTAGAGAAAAGCTTACAGACTCCACACCCACACACCCTGAACTGCGTGAATGCAGCAGAGGAACAGCATAAAGATCAATATATAACCTGAACTGGTTTGGCTCAGTGGATGGAGCATAGGCCTGGGGACTGAAAGGTCCCAGGTTTGATTCTTGTCAAGGACATGTACCTTGGTTGCGGGCACATCCCCAGTGGGAGGTGTGTAAGAGCGGCTGATCGATGTGTCTCTCTCATCGCTGTTTCTAACTCTCTATCCCTCTCCATTTCTCTCCTTCAAAAATCAATAAAATAAATTTATTAAAAAATCATATATAAAAGTCCAGTGGATTTCTATGCCAGCTTTGAGTAACAGACAATTGAAAATAAAATTCCATTTGCAGCAGCATCCAAAAAGCATGAAATACTTAGGGATAAATGTAATAAAATATGGCCAAGACCCATATTAAAAACTATAAAACAGACTGACAGAAGTTAAGGGACCTACATAAATGGAGAGATATTGAATGGCTTGATATGGTTAAGGTGTCAATTTCCATAAATCTACAGATTCAATCCCAATCAAAATTCCATTGGCCCTTTTTACAATATTTGTAGAATTGAGAGTCTTATTTTATTTCTGCTTGGTCTTTAATAAGAACTGTTGATGGCCCCGTTTCCTTTGTGTGTTTTTTAATGTATTGAATTTATCTATTTATTAATTTTTATTCATTGAATTTACTGGCTAACAAAATTGTAGGGGTTTCTGGTGCACAAATCTACAACACATCACCAGTACACCATATTGTGTGTTCTCCACCCCAAGCCAATTCTCCATCCATCACCATTTATCACTTCAGTGACAAGGCTCTGTTAGTGCAGGTCCATCAGTTGTAACAAACGTACTGCCCAGTGGGGAGTGTGGGGTGTGTTGAGGGTGTGGGTA